AAGGTCTAGTTAGAACATAGTTCACAGGACCTGCTAAATCATGTATGATTCATGACAGATATCAGATTGCTGACCAAGATCTGGCTAGAACCTAGTTCACAGGACCTGCTAATCATGTAACTGATATATTACAGATATCAGATTGCTGTCCAAGGTCTGGCTAGAGCCTAGTTCACAGGAACTGCTCAATCATGTAACTGATATAATACAGATATAAGACTGCTGAAAAAGGTCTGGCTAGAACATAGCTCACTGGACCAGTTAAATAATATACATGATTCATGACAGATATCAGATTGGTAATCAAGGTCTAGAACATAGCTCACAGGACCAGTTAAATAATGTACATGATTCATGACAGATATCAGATTGCTGTCCAAGGTCTGGTTAGAACCTAGTTCACAGGAACTGCTCAATCACGTAACTGATATATTACAGATATCAGATTGCTGACACATTTCATTGCTGTGTTTTCTGATCAATACAGAAGAAGAAATTGAATAAGACAAAACTGAGGTTATTAAAAATTATCCAAACATTACAAGAAGGGGAGTAAAAGAAGCCATGCTCATTCAAACAAATTCTGGACTAAACCAGCTTGAGTGATAACTATGGTAGAATACCATCAGCAAATTTGGAATAAAACTGTTGTCTTAGCATTGTGGCTCGGTTATATGTATGGATTGTAACAACATTTTAAAATATTTGTGATGTGTTCCTTTGACCTTTACATTTGTATTCTTCATTACTTTTGATATAACTGTATGTGTAATATTATATATAGTTTTTGTTGTAGTAGATTGTGTGTATAAATGTAATTGTTCATTGACAAAGTGCACCACTTGTACACTTGTGATGTGACACGTTGTTTTGTTTCATTATTACATAGACATGTAACAAGAGATCTTGCAAGAGAACTGTTTCAGTCTGACTGTCACAATTATGCACTGTTTCCCAACACGACATTTTCTACTGTGACAATCACAGGACAAAAGATCATATGTAGAGCATGTATCTTATGAAATTTTCGTGTTTCCCAGTGGTAATGATAAATGAGCTTGTGTTTAATAAATACATTGAAGAGTTAGCTTTACTTTGTTATAAATAATTCAAAGTTCTACAGAAAGGCTGTTGTGTATTTAATACTAACTTTTTCATAACTTAATTTTTTCAGAAGTTGGAGGTCTCAGAGTTTTTCGATATAATGCCAACAAGGTTTTGATGTGGCTTGAACAAAAAGTAGAAAATTTATTAAGAGAACTGAAAAGACAAAATATTTGTGTGTCTGGAGGATCAAGGGTGGCTACATTTATCCCAAGCAACAAGGAGATGACCCCTTCTAATGGTAAATATAAATGTTGTACATTTAATTACATTATAAGTAATCTATTGGCTTAGTAGGTATGTTCTAGATCTTGATCGGCAATCTGATATCTGTCATGAATCATGTACATTATTTAACAGGTCCTGTGAGCTGTGTTCTAGCCAGACCTTGGTGATATCTGAATGGAAACAGCAACAATGTGTTCATGTGTGAGTGTGAGATATGTACATGAAATCAATTACCAGTGTGTGTAATATCTGAATGGAAACAGCAACAGTGTGTTCATGTGTGAGTATGAGATATCTACATGGGGGGGGGTCAGTAACTAGTTTTACCTAAATTATTCATGTAACCTTTGAGGTTTTCTGCTGAGTTTCTCCTATGTCTTCTTCTGTCATATCTATGACTGCTTTTAAACTTTTGGATAACAAATGTTGTGGGCTCTGGTAGAAATGTATTTCATGGGTTGTTTACTTTGGTTTCTCTTCTCATCCTCACATTAACGCACACAAATTAGATACTTTGATATGGAGTTGTTAGCTTCATCACATGGAAGATTTTTTATCACATATAATGTCATAAAATATTTACACCCAGTTATATATTTGTTTTATTTTAAAGTCTTTTTCATGTAAATGTTGTGTCCATTATTGATTTATATTAATACTTCAAGATGTTTAAATAACTGGAACCAGGGAACAAGAAACAGGAAATATGTCAGAACTTGTGAGTTATTTTGTAATTAAGCTGAGCTACAAATTGAGATAATTCTGAATTCATAGTATTCCAAGTCTCTGCTACTGCATTAATAGTTGTAAACATGTTATTGTTTGTTACAGATGTCTCCAAAGTAGTTCGCTACATCCTGAACATCTATTGGGATGACTACTTGTGTATTGTATCTCAATCATGATGTTTTGTCATGTGCTTGACTTAGGGCTCTTTGTAGTCAGTGTTAACAAGTTAGTATGATAAACTGTTGTACATATGGACTGGTGATTGATTAACCCTTTTGCTATGGGCTAAAATGATGAATACATAACTATAAAGTAAACATTAGAGTATCTTTACGATAACTTTTAATATAGTATCATCACGAAATAAAGCAAGCTTTCAGTATATATTAAAAAAATTTTATAAAACCAAAAATCTGATTTTTTTTTTTTAATTAAGTATTTTTGCTAAAAATTTATCCATGATTAAATAGTCGGCTTGTTGACTGAGAAGTGACTTTTATGTTCAGATTAAAAATACTTCATTTGTAAATTGTCAAATTTCATTTGCATAGTCTCTAACACCTCCTAAATAAATATCAAACGTTTTTTTTGTTTTCAGTAAAGTTTTATATTTTATCTGTTGTTTTCTCTACCCTTACTCTTACCAACCTCATAATTACCTTAAAAAAAAGGAAAATATATCTAAATTACCTAATTTTTCTTTCTAGAGTAACTGACTACAAATTACAACAGGAAACTACAGTTGTTTATTCTAAATAACTTAAAGTTTGTAACAGTATACATTTGTTTCTACTTAATATTATTTTTTTTATTGCCCTTTTACCCATGTGTAACTAATAATCCTGCCACACGTAAATCACTCGGCAAATGCATAGTTCAAATTATGGTATTGAATAACATAACACATAGCTGCTTGTAAGCATAACTCGTGAAGATATTATTTTTCATTATCGTACGTAAATTATTAAGTTTTAGATTTTTTACATTTAGTTAATTTTGTAATAATAAATAAAGAACGTGAAAAAACAAGAAATATAGTACTTACCCATGTCCTTGGTTTTTACTGTTGACTGATGATGAAATTTAAGCCTACTCATTTTATAATAATGGTACTAGTACATTAAATAAATCCTAAATAATATTAAAATTTGATTTATTAACGACAAATCTTTAAAAGTCATGACTTACACACTTAAACTTGCCTGTAGTGAGAGAGTTAAATGTCTCATCCTGCTGTTTTGATATGGAAATAATAACTCATGATGGTAGTAATGATATATTTTGTTGAAATTTAAACTTAAGTGAAAAAAAAAAGTCAGTGACATATTTTTGTATCATCATCCTTTTCATAATGATGGAGTGGACTTCACCAGAAGTATTTATTCCTACCCTCTTTGTAACATTATTGCGGATTTAGCCAAAAATATTCCTACCTTGTACCTCGCACAGGTATGGATTTAGACAGAGTATTGCCACCCTGTTCCTCGCACAGGTGTGGATCTAGACAGAAGTATTGCCACCCTGTTCCATGCACAAGTGTGAATTTAGATAGAAGTATTGCCACCCTGTTCATCACACAGGTGTGGATTTAGACAGAAGTATTGCCACCCTGTTCCTCACAGTTATATTTTCTGTTTCTTCATTTTGGTATGATTTTAGAAATCTTTCTGTTGTTTTTAATCATGTTGTTATGGCTTTATACAAAAATGTGTATATGTAAGGTAGTGTAAGAGTAACTAGATTAATATTTCAATAAAATAGTTAAGCCATGTGATAACTGCCCTTGAGATTGTGAGTACTTCGTGTTAGAAACTAGTAAAGTAGCACAAGTGTCATGTGATTCTCGATAAGATGAACTTTTCATAACAAAAAGAAACGACTAGAGAGATAGTAGAACTGTTTCCTAAAGTAACCCAAACTTTATTATTCTAGTTATGGTATACAACACAAGATAACTTGGAGATTTTTAATTGTGAGAAAAACTTAAAATTCTGGGCAAACTAAATGATGTATGTATTCAAGATCATTGATAAGCTTTTTCTCAGGTGAGAGACAACATGAATTTAAATGTTGCATTAAATGCAACAATATAGAACATATAAATGAAAAATATACAACAGATAGCTTGTTACACCAGATGATTTATACATACATTTATACCAAATATTGAAAAAAAAGGATTTCAAATATAAACGTAACAAGGTAAAGAGAACATATTCAAACAAATATAATTAGTTGCTGTCACAATGAATATAACTGTCCCAAAATACAATGACAGCATTTTACTATGTACACAGAATCAATTACCAGTGTGTGTTATCACACACACTCACACATGAACACACTGTTGCTGTTTCCATTCAGATATCACACAC